CAGCCCTTGTGAGTAAATTTAACACATACAAATTATTGCTATCATGTACATAAAACAGGCAACAACCAAGCCCTCACTACTGATGTTTTCAATGTGTCTGGGACTCAGTTAGACAATGGGTATAGGCCCTGTACTGATGTGAACAAGACAGATGAGAACTCAAGGGAGTATTTCTAATGTTATTCAAGTGCTGAGAAGCAAACAAGCACAATGTTATAGGAGACTTAATGTAGCTGAAGGGAAGAGAAGGCTTCTGGAGGTAGTGACATTACCTTGGGGCTAAAATTTGTGGGTTTCAACTGGGTGGAGGGAAATAAAGAAGCAGTGTGAGAAAGCCCAGAGTGGAGAAAGAGCCAGTAAAGAAAGTGGATGAAGTAAAGAGGGCTGGGGGCAATGGCTGGAGAATTTGGCAGGGGCTCACCATGCTGTGTGTTGTGGGTCTCAGAAAGAAATTTCTTGGTAGGTAGGAAAAGACTTGAAGTAGAGTGGCTCTATCACATTTTCCTTGGTTGTGGTACAGAGAAAACTTCAGGTCTCTGTTGAACTTCTACCTCCCAAGAGACCGTTTTGTCTTCAATAGCATCTCCCCTAACCCTCTCCACCACTTTATGATGTTATGCATCCTCATTGGCCCCGATATTATGTTACACTCTCACATGATTGTTCTGTTTCACCTTTTGGCATGGAAACCCTACAGGAACTGGGAATTTGGTGGAGAGACTGGCTACAGGGAGATCAATTAGGAGACTGGTAGAGACTGCCAAAGACCAAGAACACTTACTTGCCAGGAGGTTAGAAGCAGCTGTTGAATGGAAGAGCAAGAAGCTAGAAAGCTTAATTCACCAAGAAGCTTTATTTGCATAATATTTTACATAAGACTGAGGAAATATCAATTGTCCATATCAAAGTATAGGTGGGGAGGCAGAGGCCAGGGCTAAGGTTCTCACCAGCTAGTTCTTGATTATAAATCATTGAACTGTCAGGATTTAGGGGGGGCTTCCAATAAATGGATAGTATGGAGGAACTTAAGATTTACTTAAGATTTAAAGATTTCTTTTAAGATTAAAAATTTTATTTAAGATGCTGGGCATGGTGGTACAAACCTGTAATCCCAGCGACTTGGGAGACCGAGGAAAGAGGATTTCAAGTTTGAGGCCAGCCTCAGCAACTTTGTGGGGCCCTAAGTAACTTAGTAAGACACTGTCTCAAAATAAAAAATAAAATGCTGGCGACATAGTTCAGTGACACAGTGTTCCTGGGTTTAATCCCCAGTACCCAACAAAAGTGCTTGCTCAGCAAGAGTGAAAACCTGGGTTCAATTCCCAGCACAGCAAAAAACAAAACAGGGTGGGTGTGGTGGCGCAGGCCTGTAATTCCAGTGGCTAGGGAAGCTGAGGCAAGAGGATTGCAACTTCAAAACCAGTGAGGCTCTAAGCAACTCAGTGAGATCCTGTCTCTAAATAAAATACAAAGAAGGGTTGGGGATGTGGCTCAGTGGTTAAACACCCCTCAGTTCAATCCTAGGTACAATATATATCAATATATATATATATATATATATATATAGATAGAGAGAGAGAGAGAGAGAGAGAGAGAGAGAGAGAGAGAAACAAAGTAAAGTACAGATTATTCTGATAATTTTTTAATTTTTAATATTTATTTTTTAAGTTCT